CAGTAGTTACAGGGTACAGTTCCGGTATACGGACGTTTTTACCCCGCGGTACGTTCGGCAGTACCTGGGGGATAGACCTATGAGCGTGAGTGGGTTACTAAATCACTTCAGGATCATTTCGTGCCCTTGATTATTTAATAAGCATCATTTTTAGCGTGGTTAAATCTGTCCACTGTCATATTGCTAGTATATATATATACTGTCAGTTTTCCTGTTAGGATCCAATATTGCTTATACGCGAAAGTTGCGTATCAGTTTGTTTTGTTTTATGTTGAAATTTATCTTTTGTGTTTCGTTGTTCGATATCGGCATTCAGGAGTAATATTACGTTTGTATTGTTTTGCGCTTGATGCAATAGATATAATTTCGCTTTTGACATTTTACATAAGAGATGGCGCTGGAGTATTTGGTTTTGCTAAAGCTACTGCGGGCCTTATTCGAAGAAACGGTATGGGCTAGGGTTTAGATACCAGATATTGACCGTTGGATCACACAGCTTGCGTCGGTTTAACTGCGGCTATACCGTGGGAGGGCTATTCTATTTGCAACCTGCCTCGTAGTTGTGGTTGTTCCCGTTTGTCATGGGGGAGACGGGGGGTTCAATTCCCGTCGTTGGAGAATTTCTTCTTGAACTGCATTGCTTTTGGACCTGCCCCGACACCTTGCTCTTGCACCGTTATTGACAATACGGAATCCGGTACATTCGGTATAACGGAAGTACCTAGGTACTATTAATATGCTGACCTTACTCGCTACGTCACTAACGGGTCAGGGAGTCGCTACGCTACTCCCTATCTCCTACCCGTAACCCTAACCAGTATCGATAGTAACAGGGTACGTTCCGGTTTCATTACCGGACGTACAGGTCGTTCCGCAGTGTACCCCTGGGGGACATAGACCTTGGGCGTTTGTGGGTGTAATCAACTTCCCAAGTCAATCGTGCCCTCAGATTTGACATAAGCATTCAGTTTAGACGTGGGTTTAATCTGTCGCGCTGTCAAGTTGACATAGGATATATAAGACTGGTCAGTTTTCCCTGTTAGGTCAACATTTGCTTATTAACCGAAAAAGTTCTGCGTACCTCAGATTGTTTTGGTTTTATTAGTTGAAATTATATCTTTTGTGTTCTCGTTTGTCGATATGCATGTCAAGGAGTAAATAATTAGGTTTGTTTGTTTTGCGCTTGATGAATAGTATATTTTCGGCTTTTAGAATTTTCAGCAAGGAGATGCGCTGGCAAATCATTTGTTTTTGCTAAAAGCTGTACTGCCGGCTTAGTCTCAAGAAAACCGGTATGTAGGGTTAGGATAGCGAATTATTGACGGTTTGGCATGGTCGATCACAGCTGGTCGGGTTATCGGGGCCTATCAGCCGTTGGAGGCTATTCTATTGCATCAATACTCGTAGTATAGTGTTAGTCTCCCGTTTGTTCATCGGGAGAACCGGGGTTTCTTCCTCGGGGGAGAAATTTTTCTCTTGACTGTGCAAATTGTTTTGACCTTGCACCGCACTGCCTTGCACGTTATTGAACATACGGATCGTACATCGGTATACCGGAACGTACGCTGTTAATATCTAATATGCGGACATATCGCTATACATAAGAGTCGGAGTCGGCTCGCCTCTCCTATCCTAACGTACCTAACCCTACCCCTAACCGTCAGATAGTTACGGGGTACGATTTCGGTATACGGACCGTACCCAGGGTACGTTCCCGCCAGTCCCTGGGGGCATAGACCTATTAACCCGACCATGCAGGCTGTGTGACTAACGTCAATACACGGTATTCTAACCCTAGCAATACCGTTTCTTGGAGCTAAGACCCTATGAGCGTTAGTGGGTGACTAAATCACTTCAAGATCAATCGTGCCCTCATATTTAAAAATAACGCATCAATTTTTAGCACGTGGTTAAATCTGTCCACTGTCAAATATTGCATAGTAATATATATATACTGTCCAGTTTTCCCTGTTAGGAATCACCACATATTGGATTATTAACCGAAAAAGTTCTGCGTAACTTCAGATTGTTTATGTTTTATGTTAAAATAAAAATAAAAATAACTTCGTTGCAATTCATGCCTTTCTGTTCTCGTTGCCGACTATGCAATCAGGAGTAAAATAATATACGTTTGTATTGTTTTGCTCTTGATGCAATATATATAATTTCGGCTTTTAGACATTTTCAACCAAGAGATGGCGCTGGCAAGTCATTTGTTTTTGGTAAAAGCTTACTACGGCTATCACCGTACTCACTATATCAAAGTTGGGAGGCCATCCTTAGCAGCCAATCCTCGATAGTATAGTGGTCAGTATCCCCGCCTGTCACGCGGGAGACCGGGGTTCAATTCCCCGTCGGGGAGAAATTTTTCTTCTTCTTCATCTGCAAATTGTCTTAGCGCTTGCACCGTTATTGTACATACGACTTTAGAGATGCAAATATGCCCCGTTCAATTTTTCCCCCATTTTAGGCGATTAATTATTGTGTGTATAGGTTCTTTAACATATTCCTTTGATTCCCATATTCTCCCCTACACCTGTACTAGTGCGGGGGTGCATATGGGTCTTTATGTCATATCATTATTATGATCATCGAACCTTCGTAAGTCGCCACCTGCCACATTTTATTTGTTTTTCTTTCCCTTCATATTTCATCAATTATTTATCGCTCCCTCACCCGCTAATACCCCCTGTCCTCTCTACCCTCACCATCTCTGTGAGTCCCCCACCCTTCTCTCCCTCACTCGCCTACTCTTTCTATTTGTCTCTCGCTAGCTCGATCTTTCTATTTCTCTCTGGCTAGCTCGATCTTTTTATTTCTCTCTGGCTAGCTCTTTCAATTTCTCTCTCTCTTTATTTCTATTTCTTTCTCTCTCTCATTCTATTTACTCTCCCTCTTCATTTCTCTTTCTATTTTTCTATGGCAATCTCTTTCTCGCTCTCTTTCTCTCTCTCGCTCTCTATCTCTCTCTCTCTCTCTCTCTCTCTCTCTCTCTCTCTCTAGCTCTCTCACTCGATCGCTTTCT